TAAATTTCCTAATTTATCTATTGATTTGTGGTTAATATTGGTTCTCACAGTTACCACAAACAACTCAGTTCTCCCTTGAATAGGCCCCTATATGTGTGTGTGTGTGTGTGTGTGTGTGTGTGTGTGATTGGGTCCACCGGTCCAGTAAGAATGAAAGTCACAATAAGAAAGGTAAAAGGGATCTCCACCATTGATAAGAGAACCACCCGATAAACACTAATGGGATATACTTGATCAATTCCCTTCTAAAGCACAATTTATGGATTGTTTTGGGATTAAAAAGTGATCAAGAGTCCAAATCCCTTCTTACACTTCTCACTTCAACTCTTATTCTCACACGATCGTATATATATGTGTGTGTATGTGTATATATATTCTTGCCAGTCAAACAACATAGTACACTGCAACACTATCCCCTTCTTTATTTTTGATTCGCCTATCTTTATGCAACACATCTATATATACATCTGTTCAATCAGGTCGGCTTCCAAATGCTTCTTCAACTATTTCTATTATTATTATAATCACAGGACTTGGAAAGAAAATTTTATGTGATTCTTTTTTTCACAAAAACTCAAAAACTTTGTCCTCAAGTAAGCCAAAAGTGCAACTTACACCTCCTACCCACACAATTTCACTATGCACCACACAGTAGCACCCAAAGGGAAAACTTTAGTTCATACTGGACAACTTGTTATACCCTGGGTATTTTAGTAATAAGTCAAATAGAGTAGACTATGGTACAAGTGTCTAATGCACTAGTACATAATTTAGGTAGTATAAATAAAGGGAGTAGACGGTTAGAAGGGTATCGATCATTTTGTAAGTCTGGTTTGGGCGTGAGTCCTAGGAGAGATTCTGGCCTCTCGAAAGCCATAAACCCTAATTTAACCATTGGATGTCCCCATTAATCATTAGATCTCTTTTGCAACTCCATCCTATTTCCCGGTTTACATCACAAGTTTTGATCACTTAAGAGTGCGTTTAGGCAGGACAGTACAGAACGACAGGATAATACAAAAACTTGTTTCGCGTCTAACGCAATATTAGACTTACCAGACGGGACCTCAGTAGGAAAAGATTGCTTTTTTTTCTGTGCCACGAAAATAGGTGGAACAAAAATCAGGAAGATGGGACCAAATTCATAAATTACTACCCATGTGAAATTAAAACCCTAAAATTTTCCATTTCACCCGACTACCTCATTATTGCCGGTCTAGTCCTGTTCGCATACCAAACGCAGCCTTAAACAACTACCGACCAAACGAACCTGGTAAATATCACGCAAAAACAGGGCGCAGGGGTAGGATGTACGCAGACCTTGCCTCTACCCCCAAGGGATAGAAAGGTTATCTTCATAAAGATCCACAGTAAACAAAAATCCGTAACGCACAACTATGATATTAGTAAATGCTAACAAGGCACTAACACCTTTATTCCAATTAAAAATCCCAATCTTCTTCCCTGCTTCTTTCTTCCCCATACCCAATTCCTTTTCTAATCACTGGTTGAGTTAATTCTAGGGATATTCTAACCACAGTAATCATAAAGATTCAAAGATAGGAGAAAGGAGAAGATAAGATGGACAATTAGAAAAATTACCATACAGAAGTAGCTTCTAAGCTCTCAAAACTAACTGTATCATGAAAAACATCACAATTGTCTAAATATTCCAATTCAAGCAACATAATCAATTCAAAGATTGAAACTCAGAGAATATCTCATCAGATCTTAAGAGAAATTCTTCACAATATAGATGGGGCATACAATATACGAGTGATGAAGGATAAATGGGCATCTCTTTCTAGGTCTTCACTTTTTGTGGGTATAATATAAAAAGCGAAACATATGCATATGACTACATGGAACTTATCTCAAAGGAAGACAAGCAAAGAATCATGCACAAACATGAACAAGACACATTTTTTGACCTTTTGCATTGCTAGCATCATCTAGGATGTCATGCAATCCCAATTATTTGATGTCGAGTTGATGTAAAACAAAATAAAATCAGCCAAAATGATTTACTCTGCATTATTGGTCACAATTATCAGGTATGAAATATAAACTGCAACCAAAGGGTCATTGGCCAAACAGTATCCAGGTTACCAGTAAATCTCTGCCTCCCTTGAAGTCAAAGGATCAAACCTCACTAAATATGAGGAGTTTGCACGAGTATTTGTTGTATATATAGAGGGGGTTCAGGGAAAAACCCCCAAAAAAATGAAAAACTAAGAAACACTCTAGTAACCTTTCATTTGAACGGTATGCACATGTGCATACCATGCACACGTGCATAAAAACAAAAACAAAAACAAAAAACAGCTTCAATTACTTGTATGCACATGTGCATACCATGCACACGTGCATAAAAACAAAAACAAAAACAAAAAACAGCTTCAATTACTTGTATGCACATGTGCATACCATCCAGATGAACAGTTACCAAGGTGTTACTCGGTTTTTCATTTTTTTGCGATCTTCCCCTGAACCTAACTCTATATATATTATATACTTAGAAGAATTATATAAACTCTTACTACAAAACTGAAACAGTCAATGGATCATCATGTCATGAATTAAGGTGCACAGTGCAGAATTGCAGATAAGATATCTAGTATCTTATATTTCATACAGGCATGAAATAGCCAAAAACTAAACCTATACAGACCTTTAGCTTCCCATTACTTCATTTAATCCTTACGACTTCATTTCCATAGATTCTTTGCCATAAACCTGATATCATGTTAGCATGGAAAAGACACAGAAGTCAAATTCTGCAATTATTGGCAAGACTGATGCAATAAACTATTTAGACTAAAGTAACACACTCAAAAGCAGGGAACTCACACTCATAAATAAAATATATATCCACCAACGATATCTTCATTGCTTGTTGCGGTTTAGCAGACCTTGAAACGACAGATAAAGATCCTTGTTATCAGTACCAAATATTTCTTCTGCCTTCCTCAGAGTCTCCTGAAAGGACAAAGTGCAAGGTAAAGAGAACGTTGGGAAAAGGAGGTGGTCGATCGGCATGGTAACAGAAGCAGTGCTACTTACCTCACGAGATTGTTTTTGAGCATTTAATTCCTTTATATTTGCCAGAAAAGCACTGAACTGCTCATAAGATAGACGGCTCCTGGGTAGAGACATTTTAACATTTTTCGTGAATCACCAATCAAAAAAGATCCTAAAGAATGTGGAAACTCCAAAAGTAACACGAGGTGCATGGATCTAGTTAATAGAACTTCCTTTTTTTTCTTTTTGAATGATTAAATAATTATCTTAAAACCATTTCAGGTTATTCAAATAGAAATTGGGATTTATAGTCCAAATTCGCCTAAACAACCATAAAAAAGCCTGTGAAGGAACTCACCTTGCTTGACGGAAGACCTCCTTTCCATCAATCTTAGAGGTACGGCCTAAAGGAAGAAGTCGTGTGAGATAGATAAACCAGATAGCAAAATAAAATAAAGTAAACACAGAACCGGCTTTTGAATGGGAGCTATTAGATTTCACGCAGGTGAGAAGCCGTCAAACCTGGTAATGGGGGACCACGAGGAGGAGAGTTTCCAGCAGAAGATTGTTGGCTTGATGAATACCATGATGACAGCGTAGTACGCCCTTCGTATTGAATTTTTGTTGGGGATGTAGCACCAGAAGCAGAATATCTTCTGGGAGATACAGTCGCAGAGATCGTCTTGGGAGTTGCAGTTGGAGTTACTCGTGCACTGATATACGGTGTCATAGAAAACCTTTGACCAGCATGCTTTGAGGCTGTAATTGGAAGAATATAATATAAATCGCAATTGGCATTAGTACAGGAGATTAAGAGGAGCCACACAACATCACACGACACTCGATCCCAAAAGAGTCAGTTTTAGTACCGTCATCAGGGATGTTTCCACCATCTATAGAACCACTAAAAGAGTGGTGCCTTCTATAGCCATTTGTCTCCTCTTCTGTAGGGTAAGAACAACATTGGGAGAGCACATTACAACCACATGGAAGACAGAAGACAGTTGGAACACTAAAGGGGTGTATACTAAACACTTACCTTGGTAAGCGCTTACCGGTTCAATAATCTTACCGGGTGAATATAACAAGGACCGAGAATCTTACCGGTAAGAGGGACGGGAAGGATCACCTTACCCGGTAAGTGAGGGTGATGACTCTTACCCGGTAAGCGCTTACCGGGTTATAAACATTACCATCAATCCATTTTGATGGTCAGGAATGTTACCCATAAAGTAAATGAGAGTAGTAAATCTTGCGGGTAAGCGTTTACCAGGTAAGCATTTGGTTAACGGTTCCTAAATTTGTGAAATAAAGGGATACCAACAAGGATCATTACTTATCTAAGAGACAAAGAAGTGCAGGATATTTCCAATCAAACCCATGACTTACCTTTAACGGGATATGCTCTGGGAGCAGATTGATCATAGGTGCCTATATCTACAGTTGTTGCTTGCTGAGGATAGAAATTATTGAAAGGTTAGAGCACAAATTAGAGTTTAGCATCAAACAGGGACAGCATGATCAATGAAATGCAAGGTGGAAGAGAAGACAAAATAATAGCACAACAATCTTACAGTCGAATCATTGTCATTCAATGACTGCATTAATTGTCGCTTGAAAGTCTCCAGCTGTCAAAAATATAACATATTAGATACACAGTATGCATGCAAAAAACTATGATCCTCTCATTGCCATATTTGAAAAGAGAAGTGAACCATCAAGCAGATAAGTAGATTGAACAAGACTTGGTTTTTAAATTATGTGTCAAATATCCTAAACTCCATCACTGATTCCCGCAATGGGTACCCTTTCAACGAATATATGTATGCCGACAGCTCTTGGCAAGATTATAGAAGAGGCCATGCACATGAGAAAACAAGCACAGGTGCACACATAATGAGTATGTAACAATGTTTAATAAAGCCAAGTCACAATCAAGTTAGCAAAGGGGTGCTTCTTTGTTAAAATCTACAAAGGCGCAATCAATTATTTCTTCTGAAGCAGGATTTCGAGAAGTTTAGAATTATGCGAAGCAAGTTCAAACAATTCAACCACAAAAGACTAATCTTGAAGTATATTTAGCTGATGGGTGCCATATATGTCCACAATTGGCAGCCAATCTCTTTTTGACACATTGGATTGGTGAAGGGAAACCAATCCAAGTAACGTCTATTGTCAAAATTGGCATGTGATGTTTTTGCTCCCTACAGTAGCATGAGGCCAAATTCAAGGTTAAAATTAGAGTAAACTCATGCATATCAAGTCTTGTTAACAGTTGAGACTGTACAAGTCTTGTTTTGTGGAGGGACTGCCTTAAAAACATTCCTGGTGTTTAGAAGAAAAATCAAATTTGTTTTTGACCTATAAAATTTTATTTACATTTGTTTTCTAACAGTTTCTACCTCATCTTTCATTCAATTTCTGTAGGGAGCAAAAATGCCAGCTACAATTAATCTAATCCTTTTCTTGATCATGTTATGAGGTTTGTTATTTTTGTTTACAACTTTACTGTATTTTTCTTAATACTTGAGTTGGTCCTTGTTTCTTTTTTTTTCCTAACATGTTTCATGTTTGATCCATGTTTCATCTCAAGCATACTAAAAGCTTCACCAATTCATGAAAACCATTTTGCTTGGATATTTGAGAATTTTGACCTAACAATGTTTCATCATTTCATGTTTAAGTTTTACTTGAATTTAAGAATGTTTAAGCGAAATTTGAAAATGATGTTATTGTTGGACTTTGTTATGGTTGGATTTGTCTAAATTAATTTTCAACTTATGGCCAAGGTGTGGTGCATATTTTTTGGTCCGGCTTGAATCAAGGTTGGAAATGGAATATAATTTTGATGGATATTTTTGAGATATCCAGGCTCTCAATTTGAACTCGAATCAAGCGGCTTAATTGAGCATGGTTTCTAAAGGATATTTTCGAGCTATTTGAGCTCCAGCCTACATCATGAAGGCTCATCGAGCTAACGAATCAAGTTTAAGTTTAGCTTATAGTCAAGCTCAAGCTCATTTGCAGGCGTATATTGGAGTTTCCATAAGCTCTTACACTAGCGCCTATGGTTGATGGCATAGATAAACCATTAGTTCCAATTAAGCATTCGGTTTGATCAACTCAAACTAAACCAAAGTCATATGGAGAAAGAACAACGATGAGTGGTGATTAAGATAATAGTATTCGTCAAATACATAATAGGCAAATAAATATTGCTCTATCCAGCACAAACTAAGTAGTCATAAACTGGCAGACAACCACTTTTTAACGTTTGTCTTTAGCATAATTTAAGCTTTTAGGGATCATTTATATCTGCAAGCATCCGAGCTTTCGAGAAGGGGAAAGACTGGCATTTCACAGACTTAAATCCATTTATTATGAAAAAGTACAAATACATGGACATGAATCGACAAATGAGAGGTATTTCATCATCTATGGATATCGTGGATAATCGAGTTCTCCTTAACATATATCAGATGCTAAGCATAAACAAACTGTATCACAAATTCCACCAACAACATAAGCTCCATACTAACTTTCATAAAGTCATTCAGACATTGTTCCAGATAAAGATAAATAGTTGTCAAATTACTCGCCGTTCAAATAATACGAGCAACAGGACTATATCATGTTAGAAATGATGAATTCGCCATTGTAAAATTGCAAGCACGAAAAGCAATCTAAATTCAAACCTTAGATAAATCGCGCCCTAACTTCTTAGTAGCCATAGCCAACGAATCTCTCTCCTCCACAAGTTTCGACTTCAATCATCAAATAAAACAAAATTTTAAGTACAACTCTGAAGCAAAATAACACGAAATGCAAGAACAATTAACAGAAGTAATTAAAAAAAAGCAACTACATTGTCTTCAAGTGTAATCTGCAACCGCAATTGAACATTATGACATGTTTGTTGAAGCTCGGAGACTTTTCCTTCGAGTTCCATTATAACCCGATCTTTCTCGTTCAACTTATGCCTCAACCTCCCTGCCTCCGACTCCAATTTAGAAACGCGTGATGCAAGCGCCATTGAAGTGATCTTCCGAGCAAGATCTAACTGATCGTAAGGATCCGTGGGGATCACAGACAGTATCTCGTCCGGTAGGTTAAAATCCGGTCCGCCTGCCGTACTAACCGTGCTGCTGTGCTCCGACATCATCGACTTCTTGATAAAAACCCTAATTCAATTTCCCCCAATTTGGTCTCTCTGATAAACTGAATCCAAACCTAATCGCTGTAGAAATTTGGCAGCAGCCTGTGCATATTCTTGTACGAATTAGGTTGCAGGTGAAAGATACCCAACAACGACTTCGGACAAAACTCTGGAGAATATAATATGAATAAGTTACAAAAATAGTCCTCCAACTAACTCTCATATTACACTTTTAGTCCAGTGAATTTATTTTTTCACTTTTTTGTTCAAAATTGGATATTAATTACCTAAATGATATCGTTTATATTCTTAGGGTTGTGTTCTCGTTAAACCATTATGTTTTCATGAGATCCGTAAAACCACAAAAATTACATTGAACCTTCAAAGCAAAATACTGTGAAAGTACAAAAAACGTATTTTCATGTGAAGGTTTAGTGTTAATTTATGGTCTCTCACATGATCTCAAGTCTATATCCATAACAACAAAAAAATGTGTTTACAAGTTACAACTCATGAAGTTGATTTTGCTGTTATACTGAATCTTTTTATTGTCTGCTACTTGTTTTTCTCGTAACGGTCTAAAAAACTAAGATGATGATACAGATTTTGTCATAGACAAACAAGTAACAGATAATATATTAAAACATATGCAATAATCATGCAATTAATGAACAGAAAACTCAGTTAAAACAGTACAAAATTTTAAAAATTGATAGCAAATATAAACAATTTTAACTTCAAACATTTGAAATATGAAGCTTATGTATTTATTATTTTCATATGCTTAAAGTACGAAGATTGGGATTTTTAATGCACGTTACTATCATTTTAACATGGTAGACCATTTTCAACAAAGACATCAAATACTAAATTTGACACCAAATTACTTCAATAGAGACACCAAAATTAGTGTAATAAATAGTACTATATCATTTTAGTAGGCATGGCAACGGCACGGGGATGGGGTGGGTTTTGTAATCCCCGACCCCCGGTTTTTAACAACAGTCCTTGGTCCCTGAAGGGTATGGGGATTAACATCTCGTCCCCGGTTAAAACCTAGTCAAACCTTGGTCAAACTTCGGTCCCCATTCCCCAACCTGGTCCAGTCTCATATTTTCTAATATAAATACTCTTGAAGTCCAACAGCAACAGAGACCAACTATCAGATTTCCAAAGCCCGAATACTTATTAAATGAATATTAGTATACCGGGTACGAGGCGGGGGTACACCAGCCCTAGCCCCACCCCCGGTTTGAGTCTATCGGGGATCCCCGGTCCTGAAACCCGTTTTAGCAGGGAATCCCCGTTCCCGTTCGGGTCGGGTGAGCCGGGTTCTCCACCGGGTCGTCAGGGCAAATCATCATTCTTACATTTTAGTGTAACATCATTTTGCTACATCAAGTTTTACACCAATATGAAAAGATAAAAATTAATACATCTGAATCTTAAAGTTTATACCATTGAAGTAGATTTATTGTTTAGATCAAAATTTATGGAAACGGTATTACCCATTTAAGATGTCATGTGATCTTGTTTTCTTCCAAAAAAAACGTGTTAATACCAGTGGATGATGGATTGTTTTGTCAAAAGAATTCACTAAATGGACTAAAACATGTAAAATAAATAAACATTAAACTAAAATGGAAATCATGAAATAGTATAGGGACCATTATTGAAATTTACTACAATAACATCAATATTATAATATTTTATCCCAATTTCGTTTTTGAATTTTCTTATTCCCTCCAAATAATTGTATGCGTTTAAATTAAAGAAATTCAAATGGGTCCAAATTTTATTTCGATTTATAATTATAAAAAATTGTATTAAAAAATAACGTATTTTATATTAATTTCTATTTTTAGTAATCTATACTATATTATAAAGCATTTGATAAAAACTTTTTAAAACCATTATTTATGCATGAAGGATTGTGTATTAATGCATATTACTTAAAATTTAAGATTACAAGTAAATTGTGCATAAGTACAACTTATTAAAGCTCAATTTTTGAATTCGTATAACTAACTGCAGATAAACATAATCAAATACAGGATAAACATCTCGTTTTAAATATAATTTTTTTAAAAATATAATTAAGATTAATTATTTAGTTATAATAGAATAATTATCTTTATAAAATTTTATTGTTAAGCCAAAAATAAATTACTTCACTAAATCGTAAAACATTATTTTTTCTCAAAACCACATAAATCATATTATATCAACATAGACAAAAAAAAAAAACGAAACATTAAAATAAAGATATATCTCGTTGCATTATACGAATACCCTTATAATATATTTTTAAAACATTTGATTGGTACTTAAAATGTAAAATCTTAAACATTTAAATATTTGGATAACCTGTTCATGTATTAACCGGTTACGTTATTGATATAACGAATGAATATTATAGATTTTTTTTATATAAATTGAGTTTAAATAAAAAAATTAAATGCTCATTCATTCCAACAGAGAACCCAACAACCCAAGTAGGGCAGACATCATCCCCTTCCCCATCTTCAAACAAGAAGTCATCTTTATTTTCGCATAAAGCTGTGAATATGGTGTCTGAGATTGCTTATAAAAATAATTTACTGATTTATTTCGATGTGGTACTGTTAATAAACACTTTTGAGTGTTTGGATAAACAACTTATACCGATGTCAAACCGGTAATAAGGAGTTTTTGAATAAATTAAACTCTTATGACTTATAATAAGTTGATAAGTGTTTTTGTAGAAACGCATTTCTCAAACACCCTTTAATATTAAGAGATTTGGTAAGGAAGATGAAGTAATGGGAAGCTGCTTAATCTGGGTTCTTCAGTTTATTATAAAAAATCTAATAAAAAACTAAAAATATATATAAATTTTGAAACTAATTTTATATTTAAAAAATCCACGACATCATCTACATCAGATAAAAAATACATGTCATTCGTTACGTCAACAATGTAACCGGTTAATACTTGAACCAGTCACTTGGATACTTAATTATCGTCAATATTGGTGCTCACACATGCATCGTTAGAGATGCACAAAGCTTGGGTTTCTTTATTCTTGAGCTCAGAACTTCAAAACCCATTTTTAATGAGCAAAAAAAAGGCTCAAGACTTTTTTAGCCCCAAGTCGAGCTAGACCTGACTTTGGGGTTGAAAAAAGACTTGATTAGACTTCTTTTTTGAGCTTAACCGGACCTTTCAATTTGATCGGGCTAGATCTGCCCCTAAGATTTCGGCATGATCTAAGTAGAGGTGTTCAAAAACCTGACCAACCCAATCCAACGCGAAATAACTCAACCAGAAGCAACTCAATGTCTAATCGAGTTGTAAAATCTTTAAACCGTAGGTAGTGGACTGATAGTGAGTTATTTTTATTTGAACTCAACCTAGTCCACTGAAACTGATATTCTTTTATCTCTTAGATTTAATATGATTGTTGAGTCTCTATTAATACGTAAAGGAATTACATCATCACGTACCTTCAACATATACATATATTTTCAATATATCCTCCGTCTATGTATAACTCATTTGTATATATGTTCAATAATTGTGAACACACACATACACATGTATATATATACACACACACACACAATTGAGAAAATTAATTGAACGTTATGTAGTTAAAAATTTAAGAAGTATATAGATAAGTTGTACCAAATGGTTGATGATGAAAAATATATTATGAGTAGACCATAGAAAACACCATATTCAAGATTAGAATAATATTTTGATGTACTAAAATATCAATCCTACCAACTCGTATGGCTTGGGTTGGTTTGGGTTGTGATTTTTCAAACAACAAGCATTGGATTGAGTTGTTCAAATATCTTCAACCCGATCAACCAACAAATGAATTACCACTCATCATAATACTGAATGAATTACCCAACAAATGGCAAACAATTCAGCTGTAAATAGTAAAACATGTTTATATCACTTGGACATCTGAAAACCAAAAGTCTATACTCAGCTGTAAATTCTAAAACATAAACTAAACAAATCCATAACATAATACCAGTGTGTTTAATACAGGCCATACCCATAATTTCTTCAAATGATGACACCATTTGACTATAAGAAAAATATAGAGAAAAAATTGCAAACGATAGCACCGTTTGACTATAAAAAACAAATATACGATTTTTTTTTCAAACGGTGACACCATTTGAGTAACAAAATGGCACTAATAGGACTCAAACTTAGTCTGGGGTGGAACAAAAGTCTTGCAAACCAACTCTATCAAATAAAACTTGTTCTTAATGTAGTTCCAAAATACATACAATGGCACACAACAAATTCATATGGTTGCACCTTTTACGAACCTAATTTTTTTACTTTTCGACAGAGGAATAATACAGTGATACATGCCACCATATGCACCACTATAGTATATATGTCCCAACACATGACCCCTCATATGTAGTCACAAACTCAAAATATCTCAATGTGAAACTCATTTTCATATAGTAAACATTTAACATGCTTTAAAGCTTTAAAACACAAAACATACATAAGGGGAAATCTGTGAGAAGCAAAGTTATAGTAAGAAGCGTAAGAGGAAATCTGAACCCTTGATCACCTTTAATCTAAAATCCAACCATGAATCACGCTTTATACGAAGATTGATCTGGTACATCTCGATGAAAACTGTTCTAGTATATAAGGATGCTTAATGGTTGGTTTAAAGAAATCATTTTCTCTGCTCCTCTCTATGAACCAAAAGATAAAACGATCAAAATGTCTCTTTATAAACCACACAGTAAAATGACTAAAATGTCCTCACATGAAAGCAGGGACGGACTTATGTCTAAAGTGCAATGATGTGACGGGAAAAACCCCGCTCAAAGATTGTTATTTTCAAATATTATGGCTAAAAAGAATTTTGTTTACTCCTACGTCTTTATTTCTCCGGTCATTTATGACGTTTCCTAGTTTGTTCTACGAAACCCCTACTCCCTCACTTGATAGTTGTTCCATCACACATTGATTGTTTTATTACCGCTAGTTCTTATAATCATGCTACAATTATAACGTTGGTCGATGGTTTTATTAAATATATCTCAAATTTATGTTCTTTCAGTTTAAAGATCAATCAATTCACCTAATATTAATAGTATGATTTGCTATTCGATTCACCGATATGATAAGAAAATATGAAACCGAAACTTACATTTGTCGGTTAATCGAACTGTTAAACCCGCAAACTGAATAACCACAAACACCGTTGTGATTCGTGTGAGTTATTGGTTTCAGATTTTCTTATGCCTTAGGGCCCCCACTCACTAAGTTTATAGATCCGTCATTGCTTGAGGGGCATACGGGGGCACTCGATGGGAGGGGCTTCATGAGACTGTCAAAGGAAGGGACCAAATCCATAAGATAATGCAACCAAAATGAAAGGATTTGTTACTTCTAAACTCGAGGAACGATATCTAGAATTTGAACAAATCACAGGGGCAAAAAAGGTAATTAACTCTTCTTTTTTATATTACAAATTATTATAGGAATGCATACAACTTTATTCACAAATGAATGTCAAAAAATCAACATAACAGCAGTTTACCACCAAAGCTGAATTCATGAAGAATTTCATCATTTATGCTGCTCACCAATCAAACTGTACAAGACTACAAGATATAATCTCACCTTCATCCTCCATTTCACCATATGAAAAGGGTTGATGGCCAGGGGTATAATAGTAAATATACTATGCTTTTATACTTTTACTTTACCGACCTTACACCGATATTCTTTACACGAAACCGATACTGCGGTTGAGAATCTTCATCATCGTCTTCATCATCTTCACTGCTATCATCTTCAACCTTGTCCCACCTCGAGTAATCGAGACGAGAATGCCCTTTCGGCTTCGGAATTTCCTCCTTGATTAGGCTTTGTGTTTGAGGGGTAGAGACGGTATTTACTACGCTTTTTTGCGGGTTGCTCACCTCAGTCTTGGGCGCAGGTCCTGCTATGTCGTGGCTATCATTTCCAGCTACTCCTACTGAAGCACATTGTTCATCTTCCTCATCATCTTCTTCTTCTAGCTCGGCTTCGGCCTCGGGTATTGGAGCAAGAGACTTTCCTTGAGCGGAAATACAACGATATTTAACAACGGTTGCATACCAGACCAAACCAAACAAACCAAGTAAGGGTCTGCCTGTCAGCGGCTTAATGAGTTTGATGGGACTCACCTATTCGGTCGGCTATACATAATTGTTTGGTAGTGGCTTAATGATATCAAAAGTGACTTATTCAGTAAGCTTCTAGGATGGAGCTTTATGCAGAAAGCCAAGGTTTTTTTTTTCCAAACATGTCCCTCCCAATTAAAAAACATGCTCCTTCCATCTATGAAAAAACTCTCAAACAAAAACTTCTCAATCTACACTAATCAATAAGACAGGTTTATCCTTGAAGGACTCAATGGAAAACTAACCACACAGCCCCTAAATCCCACTGCAAGGTAGGGTGCACTCAACCGTCCCCTCCACCTATCTCTCCAACCAAGTTCACTTTTTAGCCACTTTTGAAACCAAATTCCCGTTTTAGCCAAAGTTCATGCATTTGCGTAAAACCTATTTTCAGATTAACAAAAAAAGAAAAAAAAAATCCTTACGCAAATGGGGATCCTTAAGCAAATTTGCATAATTTTGATCTGAAAATAGGCTTTACGCAGATGCGTAAGCCATTGTGTAAACTCCCCCAAAAATGGGGATTTGATTGAAAAAGTGGCTAAAAAGTGAAAAGAATGAAAATTTGAGCTACCAAATAGTATGGAGGGAGTACCAATTGTGTCTTTAAACGGGCTTCGAGATTTTGATACACTTCTGACGAAGGATTCAACTCAATGAGCCGGTTTACATCAAATAATGCAGAGTGGTACTCCTTGAGCGTAACCAGTGTTTGAGCCCGCAACATCAAAGCACCCGTATGCTCATGATCAAGCTCGAGAACTGAAGTACATTCCTCTGCTGCCTATGATGATAAACCAAAATGTCGGTCAACTATGACTAATTCTCAAATTACGGATTAAACTATTAAATGTGATAATTAGATAATTGAAGTGTTATTACACTTGTAAGATGTATCAATAAACAACCAATAATGGGTCCGATCAATTCTTTGAATAACTAATTGTTACAAGTTACAACTCATAGTTTTCGTGGAACTGAAATGTATGATTACTCATCGATTATTGATGCCAATAGAAATCTATGATTGCTCATCAATAACTCGAATAAAAATGCATGATTAATCATCAATTATTGAAGGGCATTTCAGACAATAACCATGCATGAATACCCTTCATCTATAGTTCAATAGAAGTGTACGATTCTTCAACAATTTATGACAAACTCCCCTAAATTCTATTTGCTCATTGCTTTTGTTTCATAGGACGATGTAACATTCCAGGCCAACCGTTCTAGATATTATCTGATTTGTCCACACCTGGACTCACGGTTTTAAAACACGTTTGACAAAACCAGTCCCTTATAAGGCAACTTGCGTTCCCCTCCCCAACCAATGTGGGATCTTATAGACAGTGTGTTATTTACTACTTACGAAACTCACAAGTATGCTTATACTTCCATTTGTCCATATTAGAAAAATCCTACTTTCCTTTCAGACATAAAAAGAAAATATTTTTGGCTTCCCCAATTGAATTCTTGTAATATTAAGCAGATTTGATTCAGGTTAGTCACCTAGAAAGATTATGAAGATGGGTGGACCGATCAAGTTCAACTACATCGGGAGAACCCCATCAAATTGCTCTTCAAAAGATGCTTAGAGCAGAAAAGAGGGGTCCAACATATATTTAGGACAAAGTGTCCAAGTCTAGCCAATGTCGGACTCTAAGACACCCCTTCCAATGGAGGCTATACGGGCATAGATGTNGGGGGGGGGTCCAACATATATTTAGGACAAAGTGTCCAAGTCTAGCCAATGTCGGACTCTAAGACACCCCTTCCAATGGAGGCTATACGGGCATAGATGTACTAGAGTGCCAGTCCCAAGCACATATATCCCAGATGATAGACCTGACTCTGATACAATATGAGAATATGTGGAACCCCATTAGATTACTGTCCAAAAACACCCTTGAGGAGAGAAAGGCAGAGAGGGTTACAACCCATATTAAGAGAAAGTGTCCAAGTCTAGCTTATATGGAACTCTATAAAAGGTTCTTGATATGACTGTCAGAATCTTAATGTGCAACGCTGTAATACTCCTTTAAGCCCATGGAACTTGCAATACTTAAAAACGTTCAACTATTTCTCAAATATCTCAAAGTAACATCAAATGAAGGAATCATTAACACTAAACACCCAAATCAAGGCCATCAGATGAAAGAATCCTTAACACCCAATTCAATGCCGTCCAGATGAAGCAATTATTCCTTGAAATTTCTGAAAGAAAAGAAATACTTGCACTTCTAGTGGGAAGGAAAAGGTTGCTACTTACAGGGCCATGGGTACAGACACACACACACACATAGAGGAAGGATCATGCGAGAAGTTAAACATTTTGCAAGAAGACGAGAAGTTTCAATATCATATATGATTGATTACACTCTTCTGGGTGTGTTTAATCATGTATGATTAGGCGTCTATGTATTGTCAATGCAACATGTGTTTAATCATATATGATTAAGATTGAGTATCATTCCTGTAATCATATATGATACTGAAATTTCTCGTCTTTTTGCAAAATGTTTAGCTTATCGTTTGATCCTGCCTATTTAAAAGAATAAGAGAAGGGTTGAATCAACTTTACCCCGGCGACCTGCTACACACTTTTTTGGCTGTTAATGTAAAATCACATATGATTTTGCACGTGATTAGACTGTTTTCGTATTCTCTTAGATAGTTAACATTCTCATTTGATCCTCCCCCCACACACACATATAGATATATGTGTGTGTATCAAGGTCCCACATATGATTGACAAGTGCATGAAGATTCAAACATATCAGTGAGAATTCAAGTGGCCAAAAGATCCAATATCTAAACTTCATTCAACAATTCGCTCAATTTCTATATATATCTCGAAGTTCAGATTAAACCAACAAAATGATAATCTAGCTTCTAATACTAAATACTTTATACTAAACAAACCCATAAAAGTACCTTTTTGAAATGGTGGAGTTTGAGAAAACAGGCGGCTCGATTGCTATGGAGTGCGATCTTTTGTGGGTTAGTCTTAGCTATAGAAAGAGCTTCCGTATAAAACCCTAGGGCTTCTTCGTACTTACCATCCCTGTACATCTGATGCGCTCTTTCTATCTTGTTCATTGCTTCCCACTTCTCTTAATCCGTTCTTCGATCTACTTATATGTCTGTATCGATTGGAAAACATCATCTGATAAACATGAGAAGCCCTAACATACGACGATTACAAACCTGATCGCAAATCAAAACTTAAAAGAAGAAGAAGATGATTCGTACCTAATTGAAATTGAATTGAATTAAATTGATGAGGAAGTGGAGACGTGGAAAATTGAATTGAAAAAGCAAGGGTAGATGATGATAGAAGCAATAAATATGAAGAATTTGGGATAACTTGAGTATGAAATCAGCTTGGAGGATGATGATTTTAATGGCGGCCGGCGATTGATTTTGCCACCTGGTCTCTTCCACCGTTTTTCTTATTTTGAAAATTTTCCCAACAACATCAACCCTACATAATAATATTTTGCAGATCCAGAATATTTATATATACTTCGTTCAATGTATCATTACACATTTTTATTTCAGTATTTTGTTTTTTTATATTAATATAATATAATTTTATATGATTTAAAAAAAAACAATAATATTTTTATTTTTGAATAAAATATAAATATAAAAATATTATAAAATTTTGAAAAAAATATATATCGATATCAATATTAAATGAATCTTTTTAAAAATTATTATGTTTTGGTGTAATTTCTTTAATTCAATTTTTTTAATTATAATTTAATTTAGATTTACTAACAAAGAAATTTAATTTAGGTTTAATAATATATTTTTTTATAAGATGACAACTAAGTATTCTGTTATAACTCAATAATTATCGTAATTATATTTTAGATTTTTTATATTTAAAATGAGATGTTTATCCAATATTTGATTATGTTTATCTGTAGTTAGTGACATGAATTCAAATATAAAGCTTTAATAAGTTGTACTTATGCACAATTTACTTGTAATCTTAAATTTTAAGTAATATGCATCAATAAACAGTACTTCATACATAAAAAATGGTCTTTAAGAATTTTTGTCAAATGTTTTATAATATAGTGTGTATATATATATATATATATATAATAAAAATAAAAAAATTGATAAAATTTTTTAAAAATTATTTTATACATATAAAATATTATTATTTTAGAACATTATGTTTAGCTTATGCCTTAGGATTAGTCGAAATACCCATCCTATTATTGATATTATTATTTTTATCATTTATGCATCATATAAACATACACAAGTGACACATTTACAAAAACAATTTATTTAATTACTGAAACAAAAAAAATGCCTATTTCAAATACTATATATTGAGTAGTGCAAATTAGATGAAAAAATAGCGTACTTTAATTTGATTCTTATTTTGCGTAACGTATTTTTAAAATTTTTATTTTGATACCTAAGATGTAAAGTTTTAAACATTTAAGTTTCTGGATAAATAGTTACCATGTTGATGTGACGAGTGATGTGGTATCCAGTTAATATTTCAACAAATAATACTGAGTTGAATACCACATCACTACCCACATCAACATGGTAACGAATTACCCGGTACTTAAATGTTTAAAATTTTACATCATAGGTGTCAAAATAAAAGTTTTGAAAATATATTACCTAAAATATGAATCAAATTAAAGTATGTTATTTTTTCATACAATTTGTCCAATTAAATATGTATAAAAGTTTGAGTCTAATCATATATTATTTTAAAAAATATTTTACAAATTAAACTAAATAAACATGAAAAAGAACAGAAATCAGAGACAAAATAATATAAAAAAATAAAACCAAAAAAAATATTATTATTTTATATTCATCTAAGTCATTCGTTCACGTGCGACACGCAAATAGACATGATGGGTGATTCATCGTCACGTGATATTATTTCAAAATGACCCATTATGTGACAAAAAGAAAACTATAGGGGGTTTAAGTTGTCATTTTCATATCCATAAGGGTCACTTCATCCCAATTCATCATAGTTCAAGGGCAAAAAATGAAACTTCTACAATTAGACCGTTGGAAAAAAAAAATTCAAATACCCATTTCAACGCTCCTCTTCTGTTCAAACCGTTCATTCTCTCTCTCTCTCTCTCTAAAAAATCGATATTAATGGCGGATGAAAGCATCAACAACACAATACTCATGGATTCATCGTCGAAGTCGCTACACCCACTTCACGAAATCGCGATGACTCCAACCCACAAGCTTCTGTTAAAACAATGGCTGAAAGAAGAAGAACTGATTCTGAATCGAATCGCTCTCAAAGAAACCCAAATCGATGCTACTCGAAAAGAACTAACTCATCTCTACTGTTTCTTCTTCCTTTTCCATTCGATTTCTCTAATCATCCTCTTCAGCAGTTCATCTTCATCTTCTTCGTTCACGGGATCGGGATTCTGCAACAGATCGTGGATCCCGTCTCTGTGTTCGCTCCTCTGTTCTCTGGGGCTGATCTGGGCCGTTCGTTATAAGACGGAGGTCGAATCGCATCTCGAGAAGCTGCTGGAGAGGGAGAAAGAAGACGGGAAGTTATTGGGGAAGTGTGTGGAGGAATTGAAGAAGAAGGGATTGGAGTTCGATTTGTTGAAGGAAGTAGATGCGCTTCGAAGAGCGAAGAGTTTGCGGGTTGAAAACAAAGGTGTGAAGAAATGGTCAGCAAGGGATTTTGTGACACTTTTCTTCTTTACTGTGTCTTGTTTGGTTCTTGCTCTTACGAGGGTTATTCTCTGCAGCTGATTTTACGAAACGGGTTATCGATTTGAGGGGTTTTCGTTTGATATCGGGTTCGATTCGATCTCATTTGATGTTGGTGTTTTGACAGAAACTGTTGGTTTCTGGGTACATCTTTTTGTTTGATTGCAAAATATGTATACTAAGGATCAGATTCAGTTAGTAATAATGGAATATTTTGATTCAGAAATGGTGGGTTTTTCAAGTTTTAATTTTGATTTTGGTTTAACCAATTGTCAAAACTTTAACCAAGAAGCAGGTCCGGTAGACAACTGAGTACCGCAATGAGACGGCTAATTAAAGTAAAATCTTAACTATTCATGCAACATCCCACATCGGTGGGGAACAAAAGTTGTCTTACAAGGGACTAGATACTTCATCTATCATATACGCTTTAAAACTGTGAGTTCAGGTGTGTTGACAAAATAGACAAGACCTGGTACGGTTAGTTTGAGATGTTACAGTTGGTATCAGAACTGCACTGCGAGGGGATTTACTGTGTCGATTTGATTTGCTTTAATCAAAGATTCTCAAAACTTATGGTGAACAGTTTGAAGCCTTGAAGACCAAAAAAGATGTTATCCCACCTGAATGTGGAGTCTCTGATATGATTTATATAGACTTGATCTCTGTCGAAATCGATAGATTAAATAAAATAAATAAAATAATAAGCATCATTTAAACTATAAAGTAAAAAAATACACCCTCATTAACAAAAAAGTTTTTCCTTTATTTCAACCTGCATAGTTTGAAAAATATCAAACAACTGCCGCTTGCAGTCTGGTATATGTTATAAAAGGGTTAAACCGTCCAAATCAGACCACGAACACCCCTATTTTCCATTTGTTATTAGAGATAGCTAAAAGCCGGTCCCGGGTTGAGGCATGTCCAAATCAGTCTCGGCTCGAGGTTTATGTCTTGTAACCGGTTCCATTGTAGTCGGTCCTAGTCCTGACCAAAAACTCCTGGCCGGTTCTCCATATACAAAGCCCGGTTCCTAGAACCAGTTCCAGCCCGAGGCCAAATCGATTCTATTTTTTTCTTTAAAAAAATCAATTTTGAACTTCTAAAAGAATCTTGTTCGAAGATTATTTTTGAGCATATAAATATGTTATTCAAATACAATTTAATATATCTAATTGGATCATTCAAATACACTTAAAAACATGTTTAATTATAATTTCGTTTTAATGAGTTTTCACATTCAGTTCACATTTTCAAATAACTATTATATGACTCGCAAGTGCCTCAATGTCAAGTTCATCATCATCGTCTAATGTCAGTAGTTGGCAGAATTATTAGGTTTTGAGAGTGTTCGATTTCTCCCATAACCGGTCCCGGGCCATATTTTTGCACACTAACGTAATCGGGCAGGACTACTGGTCCTTAGTAGTCCTGGACTCCCGGTCCCACGCTGATCCTGGGTTGGGTCAGGCCCATTTTGGCCATCTTTACTTGCAATCACAATGATTTTTTTTATAAGATACATACACACTCTTACATCAATGATACATCGTCTTCCAAATAAACAAATTGAAGTCTAAATCGAGTAGTTTAAATATGAGCCATCGATAGGTACATCTTCATATTTACTTGTAGCGGTTTTACGCTCCCAAAAATGTGTTCTAACAACAAAAATAATACAAGACTCGAAGATCATCCATCACCTACCTTCTCCGATGATATCATGAAGTATCGGTCTAGAAGCATCAATCGGTGATCGTGCTGAAACCATCGAGTTACTAGTACTTGTACTTCCCACAATATCACTACCGGGGGTTGGAAGAGCGTCCTTAAATGTGGTAGCATCGTCGAACTTCCAACCGGTTAGGTACTCGGGCCTAGTAATATCACCGCTTGCTTCTATGTCGCCTGAAAGCATTGCCACGACCCGTGACATCGATGGCCGTTGCATTGGTGAGGTTTGGGTGCACAAAAGGGCGATGCTAATCCCTCGTTTAACTTCATTCTCATCAAATTCAGACAATTCTTCATCTACCAACTCGATTTCCCTATTAGCTTCGTGCAGGTTCCATGCCTAAAATGGAGTTGAAATAGAATATCAAAAGTTAAAATCTTTAGAAAACTATTACATGAACAACTACTTTATTTTAACAATTATATCATTAACTATATTGTTAAAATATTCAATACATTTAATAAAATATTACTTATCTCTTTTAAATATAAAGTTTTAGAGATTTCTGCAAATTTGAAGATTTCTACCCCCTCTGTTTTTTTCTCCACTTTAGCATATGTTATAGCATAACTATTGGAGAAAAAATAGACATTAAATCTCCAAAATCTCAATTTTAGCACAGCTGTTGGAGATGCTCTTATTACACACAAATCCTATGAAATCCCGCAAAATAACATCCCCCATGGGATTTCTAAATCCCATGTTTGTCGGATTTCAAATCTTACCTTCAAACTAAACATGGGATTGGAATTGAATTGAATTCCAAATCCCTCCAAATTCTATCTAATCCTACAAGCTAAACGAGACCTAAATATGCAAAACTTATGGAAAGACGAATCCTGAAGATACAAGAATCCTAAACAAACACAACTTATGAAAAGATTACAATAATAAGATACTTTCATATTACATTTGTTGCTACATCCGTCCCAAAATAAATGTCCAAATGAAAAAGGCACACGGTTTTATAAATGTGTAATCATTGTACTTTTTAGTAACAAAATGTCAATTTTACCCTTAATTATATAGAGAGAAATTTTCTTCACCTCATAACTAAGGGTAGAATGGAAAATAAACATTTGTTTTTAAAAAGTAGATACTTATTTTGGGACAAACTGAAATAGTAATGTAGACACTTATTTTGGGATGGAGTGGGTATTAGGGGATGCTTGGTTGCTTTTCCATTAAGTCCTAAATGGACAAAACTGTTTGTATGGATTAATCTGTCTGTATAGACTGGGAAGGTTTTTTCATAGATGAAACGAGCATGTTTTTTTAACTGGGAAGATCATGTTTTAGAAAAAAACTTGACTTTCTGCATAAAGCTCCTCTAAGAAGGTTACGGAATAGGTTGCTTTCTATATCATTAAGCTACAACCAAACAGTCATGTATAGTTGACCGAATAAGCGGAGTCCCATTAAGCTCATTAATCTGCTAACAAACAGACCTTTAGTCATATTCCTACTGGACCATAACTGCTGGTAACATAGATTATGTAACCTCGTCTTCTTTCACATGTTAAGTTTTCATTTCTTGTTTACTCTTTAATTCATCATACAAATCATTCTTTTTGCTTGCTAAGAGTGTGTTGTATGTATTAATCGATTTTTGCAGATTTCAGCATGCATCAATAGTGAGCAAAATCATCGATAAGGATTCATGAAGAAGATAAAACATACCCATTCAAGAAGATATATTTTGTCATCTTCTAAACTTGAATCAGAATTAGGCCGTCCACTGATAATCTCTAGAGCGACAACTCCAAAGCCAAACACATCGGCCTTCTCTGTAAGGTGTCCACGCATTGCATACTCCGGTGCGAGATACCCACTACATAAATAACCAGTAAAAACGTGTCAACTTATTATTTACAAAAATGAGGACAAGTTCAAGAAGCACTACAAGAAAATTGGTTTTATAGTACGCCTAAAATGTCTAAACGTCCTAATAAAATACTTTATAGGACCAAGTTTATAGTACCAAACCAATAGAGAGTCCTATCTAAACATGTTATAATAGGTTTGTAGGATGCTTTTAGGCGTTTTAACAAATATTTTAAGACGTTTTTAAAATAAAGTATCCTATTAGTTATTTTATACGACATGAAAGTGTCCTATAAAAAGAAGGGTTTATAGGACACTTCTCAAAAGGGTTCCACAAAAATAGCTAATATGACACTTCATTCTAAAAGCGTCCTAATAAAATACTTCATATAAACCTATTGTAACACTTTTAGATAGATGCTTTATAGTTTGGTCCTATACACTTATGTTCTATAAAGTATTTTATTAGGACGCTTAGGGACTGTTTGGTTGGTTTTTCATTATGTCCTATATGGGTAAAGCTGTCTGTATAGATTGTGAAGGTTTTTGTTTGGGAGGTTTTTTCATAGATGGAATGAGAATGTTTTTCAATTGGGAATGGCAGCTATGGGAAAAACTTGACAATCTACATAAAGCTTACCCCTAGAAGCTTACTGAGTAAACCACTTTCTATATCATTAAGCCACTACCAAACAGTCATGTATAGTTGACCAAATAAGTTGTGAGTCCCATTAAGCTGCTAACAGACAGGCCCTTAGACATTCTAAGGGTCTTATAAAGCCAATTTTGTTGTAATGAAGGTCAACTTATATGTTTTTGCACACTAACCAAACAAAACGCTCATAAGACAAATAACACATTGATCTTACATTGTGCCTGCAACACGAGTACTCATGTGTGTTTTCTTGTCATCATAAAGTTTGGCCAGGCCAAAATCTGATATCTTGGGGTTCAGATCAGAATCAAGTAGAACATTGCTAGCTTTCACGTCTCGGTGTACAATCCGTATGCGGGATTCTTCGTGCAAATATGAAAGACCTCGTGCTATCCCCATGCATATTTCAAAACGTGTGGACCAATTAAGAGACAGGTTGTTACTTCCTGCATCACATACCCCAAATATAGGATTTTAGCATCATACGCTACAGTTTTTTGGAAGGGTGCCCCAGGCTATGCCTGGACTAACCCCGACAAATTGTGACCTCAAGAAACGGCCTGATAAACTCAATGGCCACAACTGTTGTGTACGCCTTGAATTGAACCCTGGGGAGATGGATATTCCACCACATCCACCAGGATCTCAACCACTACGCCACAACCCTTATGGTTCATATGCTACAGTTCATGTCTAAAAGTGTACTTACAAACGCAATATGTTGCTCCTTACCAAATAATGCTTGATCAAGACTCTTGTTCTCGAGATACTCGTAAACAAGAAGTCGTTTCTCCCCATCAATGCAACATCCATACAATTTCACAAGATTTCGATGTTGGACAGCAGATATTGTTGCAATTTCAGCAATAAATTGACTCTTGCCCTGGTGGGAGGCTACAGAAAGTTGTTTAACAGCTATTACTCTCCCATCATTGAGCGTTCCCTGTTTATTATTAAAAAGATTTTAATTTTTAAGGGACAAACTTTTTGGGATATCAGCTAATCATGGTCTAGTTTGACCTTAAGAAGCAAAATTGATTCTTGATCAAAAGTATAAACTACCTTGTAAACAGGACCAAAACCTCCCTCGCCAAGCTTATTTTCAGGACTAAAATCATCCGTTGCGTCTCTCAGGTCTCCATAACCAAAGGTATATGGTCTGGCATCAATTCCCAAGAACTCTGCAAATCAGGTTAAATGAAGGTTGAGATCTTAATCAAAACAAACGACAATCAATTGTGGCCACTGAGTTTATCAGGGCTGATTTCTTGCAGTCACAATTTGCCGGGATTAGTCTATGCATAGCCTAGGGCACCCTTCCAAAAAAGGTTGAGATCTTTTAATGATGGGGTTTCCTCAAACCACTTGCAAGAGTCGAATAATGGCAGTGACTAGACATGAAACGAAAACTGCAGAAAAAGCATGCAACTATGTTCACAGATGGATGTAGGCATGTTGCCTAAGGGATTTTGAACTGTTAGAAAATCTGGTTTTCGATTGCTTGGATTCCACCGAAAGTGATGTAACACTTTCAAATTGAAGTATTTCGATGGTACAATCGAAATTTCAATCGGATAAACTTCAGTGGTTTTCGAATAGAGAATCAAATCGTTATGAATCTGTGATACCTTCCTTAATCAAATGACCAATTCGGGAAAAAAAAATGAAAATCGAAAAACTGTAAAAAAAGGTAGTTTTTGAACCTTAAACCGGGTTTAAAATTTCAAATTCGGATTTTAGAAGCATTTTTCACAAAGCAATATTACCCGAATAAAAAATTTCTCGACCCCAGCCAGGGGCTTTGCCCCTTGGACCCCGCCACCGGGGGCGCTGCCCCCGGACCCCCGTCATTTAGAGGCTTCGCCCCTAAATCAAAATAAACTCAAACAAATGTGCACTCCGCACCTTCCTTACTTGTTCGATATTTATCATGATTACATTGGTCAACAAATTAATCCCATTACACTTAAATGATATTAGTGATACAAATCACTGACAAGAACTACAGATGCATATGACCTTGTATTGTAGCCATATTAATAAAATGTGAATCAGAACTATTTAGTTGGAGCTCCGAACCTTGTCTTCCGGTTGTGTTCAGGCTCGTGTAAGGGTCTTTGTTAGCGGCTTAGTAGGCCTTGGGCTGTTTGGTTGGTTTTCCATTAAGTCCTGTGTGGATAAAGTTGTCTGTATAGATTGAAAATGTTTTTGTTTGGAAGCGCTTTTTCATAAACAGAAGGACCATGTTTTTTTTTTTAATTTGAAAGGGCATGTTTGGAAAAAACTTGGCTTTCTGCATAAAGCTTTCCCTAGAAGCTTACTGAATAAGCCACTTCTATATCATTAAGCCACTACTAATTAATCATGTATAGTTGACCGAATAAGTTGAGTTCCATTAAGCTCATTAAGCTGCTAACAAACAGACCCTTAATGAGACTCGCAACGTATTCAGTCAGCTATGTATGACTGTTTGGTAGTGGCTTAATGATATAGAAAGCGGCTTATTCAGTAAGCAAGCTTGTAGGAGGAGATTAATGCAGAAAGCCAAGGTTTTTTCTAAACTTGTCCCTCCCAATTAGAAAACATGCTCCTTTCCTCTATGAAAAAACCCACCAAAAAAATAAACCTCCCAAATCTTTACAGGCAGATTAATACACACAAACAACTTTATCCATACAGGACTTAATGGAAAACTAACCAAATATCCCCTAAGGTTCTAAGAACAAGCATTATCATCACAAGACAAGAAAGGGCAGTTTGAACTTACTTTTATTTTAGGAAACCCAATCTAGTCCAGACCCTGAGTTGGTTGTTGAGCAGTACCACTCCCAATATTATGCATACATTAATGAATAAAGAGATAGATTACTAATATCTATATGTAGTTCACATGGGCATATCACTTTGGTAGGCATGGCAATGCACTAAGTGTGACAATATGTGGAACCCTCATATTACTCTCTAAAAGAGCCCTTGAGGAGAAAGGGACATTCCCACATACATACAGGAGAAATGGTCAAAGTCGCCGATGTGGGACTTCAACACTAAGCCATTCCCTTGTGCATGTAAAATAGCTTGTTTAGATTCACTGTCTTTTACTTATCTACGACACTTTATTTCAAAGTCACGACCAGACTTCTATTTAGTTTTTTGCATATGTGTCTTTAGATTCTCTTCGATAAGTGCAACACTACTTTGGTAACTAGAAGGAAAATACAAGTGCTTTCGGCACAAAAAATGCAACCAGAACAATGGAAACCATTTTTCATCTATATCATAAAGAAAAACCAAAAAACCTACCTTCATAATTGTCAGTGGCGTCCTTCCTTTTCCTTCGCTGACGGAAAATATACAGAGCTAATAATGACAGAAAGCTTACAACTGCAACCGGAACCAAAATCCCTACGATCAAGCCGGTCCTATTCTTCTTCTTTGTGGAAGGTGGAGCGTTACTCACGCTGGGTACGAAATCTAATAAAAAAATAAGTGTCAAATATCAAGAGCTCAAAGTTAAGCAACCAAATTTAAGGAAGAAATATTACTTGGGGTGGCACTGACTGCTGAGATAAGAGGTCCAAAATCTCCTTGCTGAGGTATGCAACAAGTCCCTTTTCCTGACCAGAATAGATGTATCTCAAGGTAGTTATTAGAAACCTGAACTGTTTCTTGCCTAGAAACGGGACTAAAGGAGGCCCCCCCTGCTGCCCTTTTTATATCGAAATCTGGAAACACCAGGTTTCCCTGGAAGAAACAAAATTTGAGAAACTAACATATAGAAATATAGCAAACACTACCTATACTTGAACTCAGAAAGAGTTTGGCATGAGTTGCTTCCATGGAAAGGTCAGATGTGAAAAAAGAAAAAAGCAAACTCACTGTATTTGAAAAGGGTGTAATGTTTAATTTTTTAGAAATATTTGACAAGTGTTGGAGTCCCAAGTCGGCTACACTTGCACTAATTATCTGGTATATACCTTGGAACCTCCCCTTCCTCGTCAAAGGCTCTTTTGGAGAGTGATATGGGGGTGCCACATATTTTCACATGGTATTAAAGTCAAGGTCTGTCACCCAAGGGACCCGACACTCTGCCTAGCCCCTCTTGACGCTCTGAGACAATCTCTATCCATCTAGCCTCTGTTGGAGGGGGTGTGTTGGAGTCCCAAATTGGCTAGACTTGGACCATTTCTCCTATATACATGTTGGAACCTCCCCTTCCTCCTCAAGGGCTCTTGTGGAGAGTAATATAGGGCTTTCACATACTCTCACATGGTATCAAAGCCAAAGTCTGCCACTCAAGGGACTGGACACCCTAGCTAACTCCCTCTTGACACTCTCGGACAAGATCTGTCCATCTAGCCTCCGTTGGAGGGAGGGGAGCGTGTTGGAATCGCGCATCGGCTAGACTTGGACCATTTCTCCAGTATACATATGTTGGAACCTCCCCTTCCTCCTCAAGGGCTCTTTTGAAGAGTGATATGGGGGTTCCACATATTCTAACAACAATAAATTGCTCTCGAAACACCTCTTTGAGGTGGTTCAGTCATCTCCAATGTAGAGTAGGCCCCATTGAGAAGAGGAGACTTGTACCAACAGGAGGTCGTTAAGAGAATTAGAGATTAGCCAAGATGACATGCGGACAAATTGACCTTATTAATGGTGTGGGAAAGAATCCTACTAGGAATCCTCTTAGCCAAAATGACGAGAATCCAACCACCGATTGACCTTACTAATAAAGGTGTACCTCTTTCTGGAAGGAAGAGGACACACACTTCATTGGTTAAGAATATTTATAATCATTGTTAACAAAAGGTATGGACAAATAAGGATGGTATATATGTGAAGGCAACTACTTCCCAAAAGCCTAGCACAAACCTGTAGATAAATGTCAAAGACCCGCCTTCCAAGACTCCTCCAAGTGGGACCATTTTCTATCTGTAGTTCTGCAAACCGTAGGTTCACAGTGTAGTTACCGTTCTCTAGCCCTAAACCATAGTATCTTAATGATCCAGCAGAGAGTCTTGCTGTCTGGAACAACTCTGAATCTAATGTGTTTGTGAATTGGCGTGAAGAAGAGGCTGTATATACTGGGTTCATTCTTTGTCCAACATTGCTGACACCCCACCTCCTTTCAGAAGTGAGATAGTATGTAGCTGGTCCAAGAACTTCATTGTCTTGCTCATGATTTAGTTGACTAGATGACGTAATTGGAGGACCGCCGCAATTGATTCCAAAGTCACTATCTGTAAACCAACATGAATTAGGTATTCCACAAATCATGTTCATGATAATAATCATTAATAACAGCAAGAGTGATGTGCACCAATTTGTAAGTTATGATTTCCCTGGTTTAGAATCTTGCTTTGGAAAGAACTTAGGGGCCGATTACCATAGGCTTACCGGGTAAGCGCTTACCAACAGGAGTCACCATCCTCACCTACCTTACCTGGCAAGTGTCTTCTTCTTCACTTACTGGGTAAGATTCTCGGTCCTTATCCTCCTCAAGGTAACATAAGTGACACCTGGTAAGAACTTGCCTGGGCCACTCGTAATATACAACCCAAGAGCTAAAGGCATTGAAACATGTCCAAGTGCATGTCCCTATATAAGGTCATATATATATATATATATATATACACACACACACTAAGAGAATGTAATTTTCTTGAACCATCGAAGAAGTATCAATATATATCATTTTTTATTAACCTGGATATCCAACCCGCTATGGATATCCTCATCGGTCTGGCAAAATTTACTTAGAAGTGGGACGATAAATATGGTTTGGTGCCAAAATTGTAAGGGTTATAATAACAGAGATCCTTGATGTTATTGCTTACATCTTGGTGACTCACGATTACAAGGGAAATTTCTTTGGAGACAGTCTAATCCTGAAGGCAAACCACTGGAGACAGAAGACATTGCAATTTAATTAGAATAGGCATTAGTACTTACCAACGATTTACAGAAATATAAAGCATATTTCGTAATATGAAATTAAATACTACCCGTAGGAAGAGATGATTACCTGCTTCCTGAACCTTCTAAAGTGAAGTTGTTCACAAGTAAGTTACTACACATACACACGATAGAAACACAATATTAGCTCCACTTGTGCAAAAATTAACATAAGTTTCTCACTTTTTTTATAGAAATCAGATTTCAAAGCCTGTGACGAACTACTCCTTAAACGACGAGGTACAGATCGGAACCGAAAGTAGTAACCAAAATCATGAACATACAGTTGTAAATTTTGCTCATTGACCCAAGAAGGAAGTGTCCCAGATAGTTCATTGTATGACACATCACTGCATGAAGAAAATTGTACATAAGTTAGGAAAAGAAATCACTTTCTCTTAATTAACTAGGCTACAATCAATTTTACAAATACGAAACCCTAAATTCAGCCATGCATATCAGAGTCACATTGGATATTTGTTAGACGTGACTAAATGCCCAAACTGATGCATATCTTAACCCTTGCACTTATGTGGAAACCCATATCACTCTCCAAAAAGCCTTGAGGAGAAAGGGAGGTTCCAACATATATACAGAAGAAATGGTCTAAGTCTAGCCAATGTAGGATTCCAACAACAAAGTACATAAGCAGAAAGGCAATTCAATTATTGCAAGAGATCATGCTTTTAATTGGATAAGCACAAGGCTGGAGAAGGCTTGAAGTTTGACCAAATAACGAGCAAAAACACCATAACAGAATTCACTTACATATTTCTGAGTGTGGTGCTCTTTACAGCAGGAAGTGTACCGTTTAAACTGTTGTTTCCAAGAAACCTGAGAATGATGACATCTAAATTCAGCAAGGGATGTTAAAAAGGTGCCAAGACCCAGCACCAATCGTTTATTGTCCAAATTGCATGCAAAATACTATCATAGTAGAAGAATATGAGTATTACAAGAAAGAGATCTGGCTCATGTTGAACAATTCTCTTGGAATCTGCCCAGTCAATCTGTTGAAACTCAAATCCCTAAGAAAAGACACCTAAGTTAGTAGACGAAATGGGGTCATAATAAATCTGGCAATAGCAATAGAAAGTAACATCGGAGAGCTTTTCTTGAATAGTTAGCATTCATGTTGAAGACTGCTCATCTTATGGAAGTCCTAGGGCCTGTTTGTTGCAGCTAAATGAGCTTAACCGGACTCGTAGCTTATTCGGTCAGCTATACATGATTGTTGGTAGCGGCCTTATTGTATAGGAAGTGACTTATTCGGTAAGCTTCTAGGAGGAGCTTTATGTAGAAAGCCAAGTTTTTTTTTCCAATTCTGTCTCTCCCAATTAAAAAACACGCTCCCTCCATCTATGAGTATACCCTTCCAAACAAAAACTTCTCAATCCATACATACAGATTAATCCACACAAACAGCTTTATCCATACAAGACTTAATGGAAAACCAACCAAACAACCCCTAGTCTACCACACTAGCCATGTTATGGTAGTAAACGATTTATTCAGATACTACAGTCCCTGCAGATTACTCACAGTAGTGTCAAATTTTGATATTCTCCAATGTTGGTTGGAATAGAGCCCGAAAATCTGTTATTCCTCAAAACTCTGCAAGAGATGCATCTCGTTATATTTCCTCTTCAGGATAAGAAAGGGAGCTAAGAAGGAAGTCGAAGTAACATAAGAAAGATCGAAATATTTGCTCACAGAGTACTAAGGGACTTCAAATCCCTTATAAAATCCAGAGTTCCATTAGATAAACCACTTATCCTCCTGTAACATAATAGAAACAGGGCAGCTAGATTTTAGCATCTTCAAATTACAAGATCAAAATATAACAACTTGCAAAGTATAATAATGAATGTTTAGGAAACAAAGACTTACAGCTCCTGCAAGGAGGTCAGATTAGAAAATGTGGGTGGTATTGAACCTTCAAAAGAGTTCCCCTCAAGCCTCCTATAGGAACATCAAACATAGCTTATATTGAAAAGGTTCCTAGTTGAAAGCGTGTAAATAAGATTGGTTGTAACTGGCAGAAATGGAAAGGCAGGGACGGTGTAAATTAGACACGGTCGCAAGGTCCACCATTTCGTTCCTCAGTCGTAATGTAAAAGAATACAGGCCTGCTCGTGTGAAAAGTGTCACGGTTTGCAAGGTTTTTCTTCCACCCCAAACCCGAGTTCGAATCTTATTAGTCTCATTTTCTTAGTTTTTAGCTCTTAGTTTCAGATTTATTATGTTTTTGAAAAGAATTTGCAATAAAAGACTTGAACCCAGTACCTCACTTATGAAAAGCAATGAACTAACCAACAAACTAATGATGATTTTGTGAAAAATATACATATATTTATTTCTTATAGTCAAATGGTGTCACCACTTGAAAAAATTTCTAGGCCTGTCTTTGTGGAAAGGGCATGGGGAGGTGGGATCCTAAATGCTCACTTACAATGTTTGTAACCGTGACCAATTCCCAATGAAGTCGGGTATTCTCCCTGTGAATTCATTGTCAGAAGCCCATCTGAAAAGTGAAGAGTTACTTTCCATAATAAACGATGCAAATTATGAAAAACATATTATCTGACATCTCAAAAATAAATTGTGACAATTTTCAAGGGATGGAGGATGACGTACTACATTGAAACATTCATTAAAAATAAGAGCTCTTACACTGTGAGCATGTTGCGTAAATTAGCAAATGTTGCAGGTATTTGATCACCAACTCCAGCGCTATCAATGTAACTACGAAATGAACACATATGAATATGGTACAATATTATTTGATCACTGGTATTATCTACAGATATGCACAACAAAAGGTACATCAACGAAAGAACTTCATATGTTGTTTCATCCTAAATACTTGCACTCACTAGGAAACAATATGTTTGTATCTTACATGAAACAATATGTTTGTATATTGAGAAGTGACTTTACAAGACGAGTTACAAAGGTATTTATACAAGTATGAAACTCTTAATCTATGCAACAATACCTATCCAATTAATATAATAACTCCCATATCATGTTATTGTAGCTTGATTTTGTAACTCCCATATCACTTGATTCCATCTTGATGGGATATCTCTCTAATACTCACACCCCGGAAAATGATTTGTCCCTCTGCTATTGACATTTTGTTAGAACTAATAATAGTGTGTACAATAGTAATGAAAGATAAATTGAAGAGGGTATGAAGATCACTAAACAACAAAAGTTGAAAGCCCCATAAGTTAGTTCAAATCTAAAAGAGTACTAATAAGCAAATGGAAGTGGCACCTATGCTCAAAGAAAACATGTTGGTTGTTACATAATGTAGCCCACATATATAGGAGGGAGCTTTATGCAGAGTGTGAAGTTTTTTAGAAACCTACCTTCCCAATTAAAAAACATGTTCCTCCCATTTATAAAAAATAACCTGCTAACAAAACTCTTCTCAATCTATATAGACAGATTAGTCCACACAGATATCTTTATCCATACAGGACTTAATGGAAAAGAAACCAACAACCTCTTTGTCATCAAGTGTTCAGTTCATATGGTGTTAACACATACTTCCTCAATATTAATTAACATTCAAACAAATCAATAGAGAAACTCTTGACTTCATTTTAGATGCAGATACAAGTAAAGATTTCATTTCCTCGAAAGTGAGAAATCCTCAAGGTAACCTACGGACACATCGAGTATAAGCAAACAGCTGAATTCATTCTCCAACAGCAACAGAACTTATCCAAGAACTAAGCAATTTAATTAGAGAAATATATAAACGATTAAAATCATGAATGTTCTTACAGTTGTTCTAATCTTCGCAAATTTCCAAGTTCAGATGGTAATGAACCGCTGAAATTGTTTGTGCCAAGTCCCCTGCCACATAAAAGAGTTACAGAAAATAAATCTTCAATCAACAAAGAACCAAAGAGTAGAAGAAATTATTGCTTCACGATGGAAAGATAGCCAAAAGTCAGAAAAATATACAGCGATCTAAGGTCAGTAAGCCGCCCTAACTCAGGTGGAACCTCCCCTGATAACGCATTGATGCCGAAAGTCCTATAGAACATTTGAAATTCGTCGTCATAAATCTCCGATGTATTCTCAAATATGTAGAGGTTGAAAATGACACCAAATTTAAAATATCAAAAAGAACGGCTTACATGTACTGCATCCGAATTAAATTACCAATGGAAGGTGACAAGGAACCTGTCAAGTAGTTCTGGTCCACTTTGCTGCAAACACTTGATTATTTAGCAGAATGCAAGCATGAAGCATATGTATTCATGAAAACTAGTTCTTAGGTGTATGCTTACAGATAGATAATTGTAGGTTATAACTTCCTGTAGTTACTGAAATAGTAAGAATCCCTCCAAGAAGTTCGGACATGTAATGATGAATAGGTTTTCTAACCATATTATTTGTATACAACTAACCATTGTATTTGTTAAAATGTAGAAATAAAATATCCCAAGGTGAGCTATTCGAACTATCATACTTGCAGTTCCATTGTGAAAAAACCATTGGAAACCATCTAAATTCACTCAATCTACTAATCTAGGACGCATACTTTTCTCCCACTTTCTAAAATACAATGGTTAGTTTGCAACAGTCAATTATGATAATTAAACAACCAACTCGACGTTTTTCTTATTATTTACCTTAAATTCCATCCATCATTATACCATGAATACATCAAAATGAGATATGCTCAATGACTTTCTTGATCTAGTTTCGTACTAATTTGGTAAATTATTTTGCATCATTCAAAGAGAAGAGATATTTCCCCCAAAAGAACCAGATGATATCTTCAGTGAGAATAGTAGTTCAGGGGAACAAAAGAAGTTGCATTTAATGAAAACCAAACAGAAAAGAAATACAATCTTTCAAGAAAGTTACATACAGATTGGTAAGGTAAATCAAAGTCCAGAGTCCTTCTGGGATCGGGCCCACAGCGTCCATAGCATAAACTTTTCTGATGGTTTGATATATATCAAGAACAATTGTCAAGATGAATAAAGTACATGTAATTAAGTAACAATTGAAGTGGCCAAATAGATAAACAAGAGGCACTTACAGTCGGGTAACGTGGCAAGTAGAATTGGGAAAATTACAGTTGCATTTGATGCCGGGATTGTAAGTACCGCTATCGAAGTCGGTAGAGTCCACGGCGGCGCCGCTGCATAGTTCTCCGCTTATGTTCCATCCCATCTGTGTTACTGAATCTTCTGATATCCCCCAACTGCTGAACAATGCATTTACAACTCGCGCTGCAATACCAGTTTTCTTTTAGTTCATCAACATCATAATCATCCTACAACTACTCCTGTTGAACGGGTTCTTCATTGATTATGGAAAGAAACCTCTAATATATACTGAATTACATTGGTGGTCCCTGTGGAGTGCTCAATTTCTGGATTTGGTCCCTAAAAGAAATGGTTCCTAACTTTTTAATTTTATAGCACTCTTGGTTCCTAACAGAGACAAATCAGTCTTTTTTAAAAACTGTAGGGATCAAAATTGTAATTCACTCTAAAACTAATTTTAAGTCACATTTTTTAAATTTATTTATTAAAGATATTTTTAACTACAGTTGATAAAATAATATTTTGATTATTATATCAATTTGATTGTTATAATTTATTCATAATTATTTGATAATACAATTTAATAATGTATCTTAATATTTTAACTTTTAAAACATAATTATTATTTTTACAACAAAAATGCTATTTATTCTAATGAAAAAATAATAATATACAGCTATCTCTCATTAACCTTACTTAAAATGTTTTTAACATAAGAGTTATGGACCATCAATATAGATAGTTTATTTTAGAGACAAAATTCAAAACTTGAGCATACAATAGGGACTAGCATAGTAATTCACTTACATATACAGGGTTATAACGGTAAAGAGCAAAGAGTCGATGGGTATTTGTTTCAAGATTGTCAAATTTGACCCTCTATTTCATATTGATTATGAAAAAGGCCCCCTCATGTTACCACTCCTCCGCACCAACAAAGATTTTGTCATTAATTATGATCCTATCATTAAAGAGTTCCATTAATCGTCGTATATGAAATTATACCATCGAATTATTAATTAATCAAATAAAAATTTTACGAATATGAATATTAACCCAAATAAATTTAAATGGACCATATGTTTTCAATTTAATTGATAAAGATTCTTCAAACAAACACATAAATATTAGCATAGTACGGGGTGTTTAAAATTGTTTATAAAAATAAATTATTGACTTATTCCGGTGTGATATCGGTAATAAATACTTTTGTGTGTTTGGATAAACAATTTATACCGGTGTCAAACCGGTAATAATAAGTTTTTAAAGAAGTTAAACAATTCTAACTTATAATAAATTGAATAACACTTTTGTAGAAAAATATAAGTTATTTCAAATAAACAAAATCCCAAACACCCATGAATAATAAATCAAGCATTCATTTTGTCTATTTCATTTATATTTGGAATGACAAATGATACCAATATCTACCCTACGTGTAAGTGATAAGTGCAAATTTTATATATTTTTACATCAAATTACCTTGAGATTAATGTCAATTAGATATTTAAAATATCTATTTTAATTTAAAATGATGTTTAATCTTATGTGACCATTTAAGTTGGAAAAAAAAAAAAAATTGATTGTTGCGTTTTGGTTTTTATCATTAACATCAAACAGCCCAAAATCAGGCCCAAACACAAGCAGCCCAAGTCGTGTAAAAGAAAAGAAAAGAAGAAGAAACAGCAGCAGCCCAAGGCTGCTGCCCACGACCAACAGCGAGAGGAAATCGAGAGAGAGAGACGTGGGTTCGAGGGAGCTGGTTCGTAGGGTTCGAAGCGGGAGCGAACGTGGGCAGAAAATCGGAGAAGAGGCAGCGAGGAGGCGATAAAGGGGCTGCCGATTGAGAGAGAAAGGGGGCGGTCGAATGGGGCTGTAAATGGAGCAGCTGTAAATCGAGAGAAGAGGATYGAGAGAGGCCGAGAGCAGAAAAGGGGGCTGTCGCGAGAGAAATCAAGAGCAGCAAACAAAAGCCGAGAGGGCAGTCGGTCGAGAGGGAMATCGAGGGATCGAGAGGGGCTGTCAATTGWAGAAAGGGATCGAAAGGGGCTGTCATCGAGGTAGCAGCAAGCTGTTCTATTGRAMAGCAAAAGAAGAAGAGGACAGCAGGTAACGATCGAGAGGAGAAGTAGGAGAATCAAGAGGGAGGAATCAAGATGTTGTAAGCAAACTGAAATCCATTTCCAGATTTTAGAAATGAATTTTGATTTCTCAACTTAGGTTCTTCATACTCTACAATTTTCTACCATCCCTAAGTTTAATTTCTGTTTCGGATTAAAATTATGGGTTGCTAATTTTCTGATTCTAGTGATAGATTATAATTAGTTTGCATTGAACTTTGTTGAGACTTGTTTAACATTGAGCCTTAATTGAATTTTATTTGCACAATTCTTGTTCAGAACCGTTTCATTTTTGGGATTTTGGTTTTGAGAAGGATCCCTTGAATCCTTTAGCCTAAATTTGAATTGCTAGTTGTGATTAGGAATCCGTAATTGTTCTTAATTTCCACTTGGTAGCAAATAGTGCATYAATAGACAATCARGTTYATTSGGTTGCATTATAGGACTGTGTAATCTAGCTTAAATGTTCGGGCGTCCGTTCATTAGTTAGGATTGATGCTTGTTTATTGCGTAAGGCGATTGGTAGGTTGAATTTTACGTCCGTGACTATAATCAACTTAATCAATTAGGAACTAATCTATCGAGCTTCTCGTGTTAGTTTAATTATAAAGACAAGCGGAGTGTTTGGCGCGTGTCGACACTCACGGCCGGTCTAAAATCTATTAAGAAAATGTTTTTATACAAGTCAATGATAYATGATTTGATAAAGAACTAGTTATACTCATCACTAGAATTTATTCGTTATTGTTTAAGTTCTCAATTTAATTTGCATATTTAGGCTATGTATAAATCTTCCAAACCCCCCCCTCCCTTTTTTTTTTATATATATAGTGTTTTATTAATGAATTTKCATGCGTTTACGTCTTGGACTTACGGTTAACACCGAGTCCCTGAGGAGACGACCCTACTTATCGCTATTACAAGTGTGTTTTAGAGATAATAGGCTTATTTTATAAAACTCTATCATTTGCCGGACTCGACACCCGTCAGTAAGTTACGATAAACCACAAAATACATATTTAAAATATAAAAATCTTTGTTATAACCATTTAAATGCTTCCTTTTAATTATATACCAAATTTTATATATACAACCGGGAATTATTATTTTTCCTAGTTTTTTTTTTCTTATGACTACAAATATAAATAAGAATGAAATCAGAAAATGTAAAGTTAAATATGATGATATTAATCAAATGATATTTTCCATAAAACTTTTTTTCGACGTTGTCTGTAACAATTGAGATTTTAATTATTAATATATATATAGGGTCAGATTAAGGGAAACATTGAAAAAAATGAAAAATATACACGTGAATATAAGTAATTTGTAAGTAATTTGTTCGATATATATATTATAATAAACAACTTCAATTACATATATACATACCGTTCAAAGATATGGTAACCAAACTTTTTTGGATTTTCTCCTGCCTCCCACTGTGTAAGTATTTATAATTTAGTAAAAGAGGTGGTTTCATTTGCAAACCCAATTATTAATACAAACCGTATAAATTAATTAATTGAGATATTTATATAAATGATGGAGGTTCATTTTTATGATTTGTATACTTATATAAGATTATCAGAGTTCATTTGTTATGATTAACATTTTGTATTAAGAAACAACCAAGATAGACTGTGAAAGTATTGGTTTGCAAAGTTAAGTTTGTACTAATCGTTACATAAACATGAGATTTAACTTTGAAAACATTAGGTTCAACTAAACATTCATACTCAATGCTATCCATGTATACGAAGAAGATTGCAGAAGTTTCAACCGACTGGATTACTGGAACTGGAATAAACCAGACCAAGCAAAATTCATGTACACGAAGAAGATTGAAAACTATCCGTATTCAACTAAAATTCATGCTCAATGCTGTTTTAAGAAACAAACTGAACATTTGATTTTGATTTTGATTTTTATACCAAATCGAAGTCCAAAATTTTAATATCATAAACGAATATGTAGATTTGAATCGAAGTCTTACTCAACAACAAATCTCATACTTCTAGATAGAGATTGAAACGATTGACAGCCATGGAAATCCATAGATCATCGATTAATTTCGCAGGGAAGAACGAAATCATAAACAGAGAGAGAGAGAGAGAGAGATGAATACCTTCAGCTGGATCGGTGGTGTTTTGAGCTCGAACTATGGCGGTCATCATTATCAAGCACAACCACAACCACAACCACGACGTCATCGCACAAATCCTGTTGCTTCTGCAGCCGCGCGCCATCACCACCACCACCACCGGCCGTGCTTTCATTTACAATTTCGTCAACTGCTCTAAACCAATATCCTTTTTTCGCATACACACACACACACATATATATATGTGTGTGTATATATATGATGTATTCACCACAGATAGCAGGGCAGAGCAGACTTTCAATTTTCTCCACTTTGATATTGAGAGCTGACACGTCACGGTCCCAACTCATAAACTTCTATTTTTTGAATTGTTATTTTCAGCTTTTACTTTTTTACAACTTGATATTATTATTGTTTTTTTATATACTTAAAAAGTAAAATAGTTTTTTATAAATCACGTGATTTAAACAAAAAGTTGATTACCGATAATCTTAACCAGCTTCACACCGATCCGTACCTTGAAAACCACGTGTGAAGAGGTATTTCAGAGCCATTGGTGGGTTCAAAGACTGTTTTCCGCAGTGTTCATGTTTAAATATATTGTGTATTTGATTAAAGTCGTTCTACCCATTTGTCAACTGAGTTATACGTTCAAGATATACTTTGTAAAAAGATCAAAACTGGTCTAAAAATATCCTTTCTAATCAATAATTTGGTTTAAAACGGTCTGGAAAAAAAGTCCGAACAAATCCCGATCTTGCAAACTGAGGACCGGTGGTTTCGACCCAATATAATCACATGACGATCAAATTTTTATAGAAGAAGTATCTAATGTTTACGATTCTTGTCGATAAAAAGATAAATATAGTCATCTTCTTTTACAAATCCGATAATTCTTTAAAACTTAAGGGTCGTTTACCAAACACTTACGGATATGTATTTGCTGGTAAAATTAAACATTGATCGTTTACTTACCAGGTAAGATTTTAGTCCACCAAAACATAGACGGACCTAGAGGGGTGGTGTTAGTTTCCCCTCGTTTATATGAAATAGAGTAAACTACAAATCGGTCCCTTTGGTTTAATGTAAATAACATTTTTCTTCCTGTAATTTCGAAATTACAAAATGATCATCGTGTTCTGCAAAACATCTGGTTTGATCCGTTCCTCTAACGGCCGTTAAAAGATTATGTTAATTGAAGAACATTTTCATTCTTTTATCGATTTTTTTGTCTTTTATTCCATCAAATACTATATAACCAAAATCATAAAAGCGATTTTGATCGAGTAAAAGACAACAAATCGATAAAAGGACGAAAATGCTTATCATTTAACAAAATTTTTTAACGACCACTAAAAGATTCCGTTAAATAAGGGGTATTTTCGTTCTTTTATTGATTTTTTTGTCTTTATCCAATCAAAAACTACAAAACCGAAATCATAAAAACCTATTTTTATAGCGTGAAAGACAAAACAAAATGGGTAAAAGGACAAAAATGCCTCTCATTTAAAGGAATTTTTTTACGATTGTTAGAAGGGAGGAACCAACTTTTGACATTCTTTTTATTATAGTGGTAATTTTGTAATTTCAAAACTATAGTGACCAAAAATGTTATTTTTGACAAACCATATGGACCAAATTTGTAGTTTATAAAATATGATAATCTATCTTGGTGATCCAACTTGATGGTTAAGTAGATAGGGCGATGGCTATGACTGAAAATGGGACCATGGAGTCATGGACCCATCATCATGCGGTCAACCCTCGCTAGGTAAAAGTTGATTGTATAATTACCAAAATGCCCTTCAAACATCACCATTAAAATGAGAACTAAGAGCAAAAGGTCAAAAATTTAGGCCAAAAAGTTGAATTACGATTTAATTGACCAAATGTTTTGAATCTTAAGCCATATCTCTTTGACATCTTAAAAGTTAGGACAAAAATTCAATTATAAAGTGGGAGGGCTTATTTGGTAATTAATTTGTCAAGTCGTTTTCTGATATTATTAAATAACGTCATCAGTCATCATCATCAGGTAATCAGATTCAAAATTAGTTCAATCAAATACAAAGTGGGCATTATTTAAAGGGCTAGCAAATAAAATAGTCAGATTACGGATACAGTTTCGCTTTTGAGATTATGTGTGACAGTAACTTTCGAGTTGCATTTTAACGTCAGGTCAAAGTCAATTAGATGCATATTTTATATCATTTGAAAAGGTTTGTAATAGACCAAAAATCAAGATTCACCGTTATAACAGCTTTTGATAACCGTACCTGCCTATTCGGTTGTATCGAAATCAACTATGCAAAAAATTATGGTATAGCTGAAACGGTCTCATCAAGTAAAATTCATCGACCCAAAATCGCACTCTGTATCACAAGAGCATCTCCTACAACTATGCTATTTTATATAATTTAACGATTTGGAAATTTTTTGCTCCAACAGTTATATTAAACTATACCCTATGCCCTAAAATACAGAAGAAAAAGAGAGAAAATGTAGAAATCTCCAAATTTTGAAAGAAAAAAATATATATAGTATACGTGTTGGAGATGCTCTCAGATAAATATATTAGTTTATGTTTTTATATAATTTTCTCGATTCACCAAGATAACAACTTTAGACAGCTCTTTTTGAGCGCAAATTTGGTTTTTTCGAAAGTGTCTCACAAGAGGGTATCCATCAATACCGACACAGGACTCCATATTAAAGACAAATAAATAAAATCGTGTTTTATACTTGAAATTTGTAAAAAATTATTGAGACAGTAAGATCTATAGTGACCCTTTGCCTTCTCTCAACCACCAGTTGAATTTGAATATTTAGATTTGAACCTAAAGTACATTTTGTTATATTCAAATATTACAGTTACGTATAATACATCAATAATTGTTTTTTTATAATATTTTCTCAATGCATAAAAAAATGTATACTAAAAAAGTATCATCTGCCCACTTACACAAACCTCAATGTGGATGCTTACTTATTGGAGGTTTAAAACTTAAGTAACCATGTTTATCAATATAATTAACTAATGCAAATGCATCCACTAATCATCCATAACCTAGAAACAATAACCACTCAACTTACCACTTGTCCACTTTCTTCTTTTATCTATATGTATATTTAAATTTGAGATCACATCAGATAACACTGTTTTCGTGAGATTTGTGAGACAATTTTTTTATACTTGAAACTTCACAGTAAAACGTTGTGAAGGTAAGAAAACCCCGACCCTTCACAGCAAAAACGTTGTGAAGGTTACTTTCACAATGTTTTGTTGTGAAGATTAAGTGTAAAAAAATGGTTTCATGAAAACAAGCTGGTCTCACGTGATCCCAAATATATATATATATATATATATATATATATATATATATATATATATATATATATGTTATATTAAACCAAAGTTGACCATCAATTGGGACTTGATTGTGTGTGGTGTTGCAAAAAATACAAAATATATAATTGCATATTATATAAATACATTTATACTGGTAGGTAGTCTGGAGTCATCGTATTTGAATTTCTATGGCCACAAGATAATTTTTTTATTTTATTTTTTGATTTGAACCTGGGACCTTTAGACACTTTTGACCTTTGAAGCTCAAGCTCAAACCAATCGGACACCGCCCTTGTAGTTGGTTATTGTGATTTGAAGACTCAATGATAAGTTTTTTATATACAGATAAACACAATTTGTTTATGTTTATTTCTTTATTTATTGGCTAGATAATCAGTTTCAAATCAGCTGTAATAAAAAATGTCTACCAGATAATGAAATATCAAATTAGTAAATTACCCTTTCTTTTAATTTAATTTAAAAGATTTTTACTTCCATTTCACAAAGTGTTTTTTCTTTGGTGTCGAAAATTCATTTTTAATTAATCATTTATTAAGTCATAAAATAATCAAAATAAATAGTTAACGTTATAATTTTTCAATAATATACTGTTTTTATAGTCCATTTTCTTACAACTTATCATCGTACTGTAGTCACTCGTTATCATATGATCACTTTCCAAACATATATCCAAATATCTAGCAATTAATACATAGTTGTCGTTTTACAAAATATAGTTATATTATATATTTTTTTAAAATAACATAAAATCTATAGAGAATTACAATTTTAGTCCCTATGGTTTCTACAAGACTATGAAAATGGTCCCACCTTTTCAAAAAGGGCAAAAACAATCACCATAAATGCATTTCTTTGAAATGCAATGGTCCATAACCCCTATGTCTCATCTTTGTTACTTGTATCGTTGTTAATTGAGGGATATTTTGGTCATTTTGTACTCTAATGATAAAAAAAACAGTGTGCAAGTTTATGTAGTTTATGTTAAATGTAAATAACATTTTAAAGAAAATAAAGATAAAAACCCTTTTTTTCTCTTTCTCCACTCTAATTTCTAGTGACATTCTTGGCCACCCCTCCCTCTTCCCTCTTATCTGATCATCTGGGGTCCCTTCCCGTCTTTTCCTTTCTCCTTCTGCTTAATTCCAACACATTTGAGTTCCCTTGAAGAACTTGCAACAGATTCCCACGTGAGCAAATGAATGGCAAATAATCAATATGGTACAAGATGAAAAATCGTGTGAGAATATGAGTTAAGATGAGAAGCGTAGGAAAAGATGTAGACCCTTGATCACCTTTAATCTCACCCTCATCCTATGAATTGGGCTTGATATGAAAATTGATCTGATCCATCTCGGTGCATCTCAAAACTGTTGATCTTCAATTAGGATTGATCAAATGGTGAAGATCTATTCTTATCCTTCTCACAATAACTTTCATTCTCACTGGAACCTGACCCTATTGTATAATATGCTTCTCCACAAGTACTTCACCTCCACTCGTTCGTTTTTCAATGTTGTATTGATCTTCTATTCACCCTTTTATCATGAGACATATCTCTATATACATATACAACCCTGCCCCAACTTTTGTCACTTATTTAGTAAAAATCATTTCAGGTTTTCTTATATAGACTATGAAGGTCTGACCCTATGACCTGAAGATTCTTTCTTCAAAATTCGATTCGGGTGAGGACTTTTCGTAGTCTCTATTATTGAAAAAAATGAACTGGTAAAGGGGTTTGTTGTTTTGGTTCCTTTTTTTATATATATTTAAGAAGTGGATATAGGTTTCAGGATTTTATTGTGAGTTTTAACGCTTTTTTGTTTCGAGGGTGTT